GTGCGAGCCAGCCCTCCAAGGCTGTCGGCATTTCCCCTGGTATCGGGTGGTGGGGTTTGACTATATCTTAAGCATTGTGTTTATAACACCAATCACCGTTTAGTCGATGAACTGCATACCGTTATTAGTTTATTATAAGGTACTTGGCTGCGGATTGCCCATTGAATTATAAATCTTGATTTTACCATACCACGAGTCATTACCTGTGCCATAAGTTATGTTACCATACTTACTTGGTTAAGATTGCTTTAGGGGATTCCCGTCAATTTGATGATTTATAACCATAGGTTCACTATGATTTTGGCCTCATTATTAAAAACAAAATTTGTTTTAATAAAGTACATTGCAGCAATATACTGCAGGTATATATAGTAGACCATAGAAAGTCCCCTCTCTATTAATAAGAACAGAAACTTGATTTAAACGCGACAGAAAATTACAATTAAGATTTCTTTTATAAAGATTGTTTTTTTATTTGGTCCTATACCTGTAATAGTTCCTTTAAAATCAGGCTCATAATAAAATTCATATTGTCCCTTGTATAACTTAGGAGGATTCATATAATTTTTTACAAATCCAGTATCATTTACATGCTTTCTTCCTAAAAAAAACAAGCAAGTCTGATACAGTATTAAATAATAATGCAGTCTTATTTTTAGTATCAAATAAAACTATTGACTTAGATAAACTGGATTTTTTACGTTCTGGATTACGTACTCCAATTCTACCTTTTACATCCGTTTTTCAATCTGGGTGCATTACAAAGAAAACTTTATCTCTATTAGGACCTACCATAACTGGACGTTCTAGATTTATATACCGTCTAATATATTTACTGTCATATTTTCCGTCAAGACTCAATGCAGCATCACTAGGAGTATCAAAAATTCCATACAACGTTTTTTTTTGTCTTTACAAAGAGCAAAGAGTTTCCCTTTTTCAAATTGTCATAAATCGACATCTGAGATTCAGGTAATTCTGAGTGACAATATATAGGTGAATCCTGTGATAAAGGAAGTGAAGGATCTACTAAAAAAACATTCATATCTAAAACAGGACTAAATACTGAATAATTTTCCAAGTTAATGTATCGAGCTAATGTAGTATTAGGTATGCCCAAAGAAATAGCAGCTCTATTTTTAGAAGGATAAACTAACAAAATTTCACGATTTGGACCTTTAACTGTTAGTGGTATTGAACTATCAAGTTGTGGCAAATTGCTTTTTTGTAAATTAACAAAAGGAAAAAGAACTGTGAATCTATTATTTAATTTAGGGAAATAATGAGTTAAAAAGGCTTGTTCATAAAGACGAGCTTCTATTCCTAAATCTAAACTAGGATTTTGTTGTAAAAAAGTAATTATATAATTATTTGTAATAAGAATTGGCTTTCAAGTAAATCGCTCTCAACCTAATTCTCTTACTGCAAGATATAAAGCACTATTTCCACCTCTAGATGGACGAATACTATTTACCAAATGACTTTTAAACCTAGTATTTAAACAAACTGCCGAACCTATGTATTGAAAACCTCTTTCTATACACTCAATAAGATAAACACCAGATTTTCCATTAAATATTTTAGGATGGTTTTTTTTTTGTCATTACTTTTAATAAAATAATTATCATAACCTGTTGTTCTAGGCTGATTGGTCGCAAATATCCCAATCGAACCAGACAGAGTTAATAAATGCAAACAATTGTTTTTAAGATATAATTTTAAAGGATCCGAATCTTTTAAATTTTCATACATATTTTCCAATGTTTTTGAAGCATTTCTTATATTTTTAGTTATATTTAATTTAATCAATTTATTATCAAATTTAAATAGAACATAAGCATTGTGATTTAACTGTTTCATTATAAATTAGGAATATTTGAATTTAAATTTCTATAGGCTTTTAAGCCTTATGGTTATTTTATTTGTTCATTATCTAGTTTATGTCCTAGAGAAGGAATATAGATTTATTAATTAAGCAATTTATTAGCTGCTTTAAATCATGACCTTTTTGTTATATCATATTTCCTGTTTTATTAACTAATCGGATTTATGGATAAACAAAAATCGAGGAGCTTTTTAATATTTAGTTTTTCTTCTTTGAAACACAAGATTTTTTGTGTTTTTACATTAAATTATTAGCAGTGATTACTATTACTTATAGAAAATTCGATTGCGCTTTCTATTTTTTACTTTATAAACAAAAAAGTCCTACAGGCAAGAAACTAGCGTAGCACAATTATATTATTTTTAATCATTTGTCATTCCTTAAAAATTAATTGTATTATCTGTCGGACTATATCTTGATTGTATTTAAGGAAGAAAAAAAACTAATCATACAATACACCTCATATAGTCTCTGAGGAACTTTTTAACTAACTCTTTTGGCTTAGGTATACACCGCACTACAAAAACGGACCGATCTGAGTTATTAAAAATTAATTTCCTGCTGATTGTCCATTGTTTGCATCTCAATAATTTTTACCTTATTAGTATATTGAGCTTTAGGGTATTCCAGCATATAGAGGTTTTGGGCCTAATAATTAAAACCCGGATAGGCGTCACATTTAATAGCTAAAGCGGGTGATGCAAAGGAATGAATTACGTCGGCACTAGTGATGATAAATCTAACATGAGTAAGTTCTGGCAGTATAACTCTATTATCTACTTCTAACATTCTTAAACCACCATCTTCTAAATCTTCTTCAGGAATCATGTAAGAATCAAATTCAATGTTTTCATTATCATCATTTAAAAAATCAGAATATTGATAACTTCAATACCATTGATGCAATAATATCAGAAATTTAAGTTAAAGTGATTGTCACAGCTAAAATTTATTATATAAACTTATCCATATAAAAACTATTTATTAAAACTCTACATTTTTCTTCCTGAATAATAAACACAATTTTTTATAAACTAATCTCTATATACCTAATTTATACATCATTGAAGAATGCATATATGGTAAAACTAACTCTTTTAGAAGCTGCTCTTATATAAATCGAATACTTATCTTTAGGAGTATTCCCCCCTTTTTTTGAAAGTAATTGTGCAGTACATTTTAAACCAAATTTAGTTTCAAACATACTTATAAGTAACTCAACTTCTTCCTTAGTAAAATTATTAGTAGCTATTCTTACACTTTTAGAATATGGCAATCAACAACCATCATCCATTATGAGAAAAGCTAAAGACATAGGTGTTAAATAATTAATTAGTTCAGGATGTATTATTTTTACACCATTAACATAAAACAAATCATAAAGTCAATTTAAACTACTAAATGTAAATATATCAAATTCATAGCCATAATATACTTTTTTTATATTTGATTTATTTATAAGAATTTTTTTATATTCTCTTGGTCCTGCTGTAGTACAATAACCTCTTTCGAAGAAAAAATCGTATAAGAAAAACAAATAGTCTTTATGTCGACCGCTTTGGCCGACTCTGAAGCTAGTCCCTTTATTTTTTGCTGCGTGAAAATCTCATCACTTTCCTCGCCACTCTTAGGGCACATACGCCTCGAATTGACGAGCTAAGATATTAAAATTTAATCTCTTTCTTCCTTTTTCTCTTATACCCTCATTCGCCCGTGGCAGGATAGGTATTCACCTATTATTTTGAATAATCTCTTAATGAATTCATACCAGATTTAATTTTTTTTATTTCCTTTAACCCTTTCGTAGTTAAATGGGCTTTATTTTTCATTAATTCTGCTATTATACAGAAGTCCTGAAAATTTAACTTTTTTACACCAATTAAAGGATATTTATTAAAAAGGGGAATAATTATATTATTAATGTCAGCAAACTTAGTAACTATAAAGTTCACTCGACTATTAGTTGGTATTTCTACTACAATACCACAACCCAACTGTTTTTGTATACTTCAGAACAAAGCTTTATCTCGGATATGTTGAGAAATGTTAAAATTTAAGTTGACACTAAATTTCATTTTACATTGTTTATTATGGGAAATAGTTAAAGTAAAACACCCCTCTCCTTCTGTAAACCCTGCTATTCAGTCTTTCTCTATATATTTGGCTATTTCAACTACAGGTCTTTTATTAATATCCAATGGGTATTTTTTTGCTAATTCCCCTTTAAATCCAAGATTAAGACAAGCTCGTAACTCACAAATTTTGTTTAGCCCTTCTATGGTTAGATGCTGGTTTTGAACCACTAATTTAACTATCCTACTAAATAACTCGAAATCTGCTTTCTTTTTGGTTAATAATTTATATTGATTAAAATGTGGTATAATAACGCTACTAATATCTTTAATAGATCTCACAAGATAATTTACTTCTCCGGTTTTTTTATTTATGTTTATATTCCCGACACCAAAATATGCTTTAATTTTATTTAGTATCTGAAGATCTCTCCCGTGTAAGTTTATACTAAAAATAACTTGCACTTTTCATCCCACTTTTCGTTCACTATTCTTGGTGATTGAAACAATGAATGAACCCTCAGCATCAGTGAATCCTGTAATTCAATAAGGTTTAATAATTACTTCTTCACATAGGAGACCTTTAGGGAACTTATCCTCTCAGGGAACCAGTCCACCTGATACATTATAGTCTTTATATCTTAGCGAGGAGAGATGAAAAGACCTAGAGGGGAATAAGAGAAGACAACCTACTAAAACACTAATAACATCAATATTATGAGGACCTATTCTTTTGTAAGTATAGGTCTTAGTATGAAATTGTCTACTATTAGAATTAGATTTAGTCAGGATTTGTCTAGAAGATGAGATTAAAAAACTTTTAAATCTCTTAGATAAATTTTGATGCGGATATATAATATCAAAAGCTTTACTTTCTTTTTGTTAAGCTTTTATCAATTTTTATAAGGTGATCTTGTAGCTAGTAAATTATTAGCCAATACTTTTTAACTATTTTGTTAAAAATAAAGGCTATAAACAAACCAGTAATAATGAGATAAAAGTTTGATCTCAAATAGGCCAATTTGCCTAATCTATATATCCTGTACTACTAGATAAAAGGGGGCTCCAGACCCCCTTTCGGTTCATAATATATTTATAGAATAGTGTTGAATTGGTCATATAAGCTCAAATTTTCGTTCTATAAATAATGCAAGAATAATCTCTATAATCCTAATTTATATAACATACTAGGATGCATATAGGGCACTATCAGCTCTCTTAGTCTAGGAAGAGAAGCAACCTTAATGTAAATGGAGTACTTATCCTTAGGAAAATTTCCTTTCCCCTTAGATAGCTTCTGCACAGTACAATCTAAGCCAAACTTAGTATTAAACATCTGTACTAAGAATTCCACCTCTTGTAAGGTAAAATTATTAGTAGAGATTCTAACACTCTTAGAACCTTTTACTCAACCACCATCATCCATAATAAGAAAAGCTAGAGATATTGGTGTAAAATAATTAATAAGTTCAGGTTTTATTACCTTTATACCATTTACATAAAATAATTCATATAACCAATTTAAGCTACTGAACGTGAAAATATCAAATTCGTAACCATAATACGTCTTTGAAACTTTGGAGGCATTTATAAGGGTTGTTCTATATTCCCTTGGACCTGAAGCTGTACAATACCCCCTTTCGAAAAAAAAAATCTATATAAAAAAAATAGATAATCTTTATGTCTAACACTTTGTCTAAAACGAAAATTTGTACCTTTTACTCTAGTTTGACTAATTTATTAGCTATAGTCATAATAAAATATTTATTCAGGTCGAGGAGGTTAGTTACATCGCCAATCGCCTTTTAATATGTTATTATTTCCTTATTCTCATCTAGACTTATTATTAATTTCCCTTTACCTTTGATTATTTAAGTAGGGCAAATCTCGCGAACTAGGTTGTAATATCATCCTATTTTTCATAATCTATTCCTGTGTTCATTCCAGACTTAATTTTTCTAATCCTTCAGAGGTTAAATGAGCTTTGTTTTTCATTAGTTCGACAACCTTACAAAAATCCAGAAAGTTTAACTTTTTGGTTCCCTGTAAGGGATATTTGCTAAAAATCGGGAGAAGTATATTAACTATATCTGTTAAATTAGTGACCACAAAATTAACTCGAGATTTTGACGGAATTTTAAATATGTTGCCACATCCCAAACATCTCTGTATATTTATTAACAAAGAGCTATCACGAATGTGTTGAACTATGTTAAAATTTATTTTAACTGCAAATCCAGTTTTGGTTTTAGATGGAGTAATATTTACATAAAAACAGCCTTCTCCCTCTATAAATCCAGAAAGTCAATTAAGATCTATATTTTTTGTTAATTCAACTATAGGTCTTTCTACTGGTTTTATATTAGGGAAGTTTTTTGCTAGTACTTCAGATAGACCATTATTAAGCGAAGCTCGTAATTCCACAATTTTTTTTTAAACCATCTGGTGTTGTATGTTGGTTTTGAATAATTAAGTTAACAATAGCTTTAAATAGCTCAAAATCTGCCTGTTTTTTGGTTAATAGCTGATATTTACTAAAATGTGGTATAATAGAAGAATAAATATCTTTGACAGATTTTACAGTATAATTAACTTGGCCCGTTTTTTTATTTACTACTATAGTACCTACACCAAAAAATGACTTAATTTGATGTAATATTGCTATATCTCTCCCATGTAATTTTATAGCAAAAATTGCTTGTACTCTTCAACCTAATGCTCGTCCACTACTCTTTATTATAGAAATAATGAACGAAGGCATCCGAAAATCCAGTTACCCAAATAGGATTAAGAAGAATCATACTTTTCTCGTCTAAGATTTGAATGCCCTTAATATTTGAATTTGTAACCGATATTAAATGAAAAGTTCTTTTTATAATCATTAGATTAACTCTAAGGTTTGGGTTAATAAGACAGCCTACTAATACACTAATTACATCTAAATTATGCGGTCCTATTCTTTGAGATGTTTTAATTTTAGTATGGAATTGTCTAGATTTCAAAATTAGAGGTAATACCCATAGTTTTGGAAATTGATGCGGATATATAATATCCGGTCGACTGTACATTAAGCATCAAATAAATTAATAATTTGATACCCCCAAGTGACCCAGTCTGTGGCAATAAATAAAAAAAAAGAAACAAACTATTTACTGACAGTCTTGTATTACTATAATAATATATTAACTGTTTTCACTCGGGTCGCCAAAAGAAAATGAAATTTTCTTTGAAGAACCCTGTCGGATCCTTAGGAATAAATTGATACACAACGTAGTGATCTTTATACTCCACGACTATCATATATATGTCTGGAGGTTAAAATATCTTCTATATTCTTTAAAATTATATCCCTAATTTATAGTGCATAGAAGAATGAATGTGTGGCAACACTCATTTTCTTAAAGTTGGAACGGATGAACCTTTTATGTCTTATCTATAATACCTATTTTTTGAACTGTACAATCAAGATCAAATTTCTTTATTAAAATATTAGATAAAAATTGTACTTCTTCTAAACTCCGAAAAAAAGAAAGAATTTATTCCCAGGAAAGCACGTACATACAAAAGAAACCTCTAGTATTGCAGAAATTATAGTTTTTTGAAAATGTATTTACCTTTATAAGGCTTCTGTTGATTACGTAGAATATAATTTTTAATTATAGTAAAATTAGGAATATTAAGGCTCTAGCAGCTTCATGCATAGAATTATAAGAAATCGTAGTATCATTTTTAATATCAGTAACTTCTATTGCTTGAGAGGGACTTCCTGCTCCTTCTGGTCTTGGTTTATTAAAATTAGGATGTTTTTCTCCTTTTTTAGCATCAGACATTATTTTTTTAGTATCATCGCTATGATTTTTACCAAACCACGGATGATTTTCTCCCATGTCGCTAATACCTTTTTTAGCATCAGACATTATTGTTTTAGATTTATCTGAATGTGTACGACCAGAAAATGGAGCACTTGGATTTAAGGATATATTATACTCTGGATTTATTTTGTTTTGATAAAAACCCTCCCTTTCTAGACATTTAGAAGGTTCACAGTACTCCAGAATAGTAAGTTCGAAATTAGAATAATCATGTTTTAAAAGAGCTTTGCAAATATTCAAACAGGTATTACTAAGTAAATAGTTATTATTAAAATATTTTAGAAATCTTGTTCTTAAATTCTCTGAAGACCCTATATATTTTTGATTATTAATATTATTTGTCCACATATAAATACCTGATTTATTTTGATTTTCTTTTAGAATTGTAGCTTTATCAGCCTCAGCGTTAGAATAACTTTTGATGGGAATAATAGCAGCAAGTGATAAAAGGCAACCAGAATTTCAGAAATTGTAGCAGAACAATAAAAGAAGTAAATAGCCTACCACTGTAGCTGGAACCAAAAATTGACGCATTAAAGAATTGTTTTTTTTCATATATTATCTTTTATAACTATTCTTTTTCTTATCGTATGATTTATACTTTATATACTATAATCAAAATCTATTTGATTTATTTATATATGTCTGCAATTAGATCAACAACAACAAAAAATAAAATAACAATAATTAAATACATATTAATATAAAGCTTAATATGAAAGAATTATTTACTATTAATGAAATTAATAAGATTATGCTCTTATAATACATACCAACCATTATATAAACTATTTAGTTATATAATAAACCCGCGAAAAATATACAACCATTTTAAAAGTAGTATGATAATTCTCCCTCTAACCCAGTATGTATGGTTTAGCTCAACCTCCATCATCCATTATCCAAACTGCTAACGCTAAAGGAGTTATATATTGTTCTATGTTAGAACTTCTAAATGTAAAAGTATTAAACTCATATCCATAATGT